TTCTCACCACTGATTTGGATCACTTGTTGCTCCCTTGTTCCTGGGTTTGTTAACACCACTACCTTTCCCCTCACCTCCCCTTCTGCCATCACCCCACCACCACCACCAACTGTCAATCCTGTTGCTTTCTCCTCTAGATTGTTCATCCAGCCTATCTTATTTAGACAGACCTGCGGAGATAATAACATGTACAAAAACAAGACAGAGCAATACCACGCAACAATATACAACAAAACAACAAACCAATGACAAAAAAAACAAAACAAAACACAACAAGAAAGAAAAGTTTGTAGTTAGTTCAAGGATTGTTTGTTGGCCTGTAGGAGTGTTTTCCAGTCCAGTCTGTTGGGACACCACGCCCTGGCCCCAAAGTCCACCTTCAACATTCCCTGGGGACCTCGCCGCTCCATTCCCTTGCTTTTCTGTTACACCCCTTAGTGTTTTGCCTCAGTGTGGCGAGATCAGATCGGGCGCAATTCCCACACTGTGTCTCTGGTGTTGTCCCCTGTAGGGCTGTGGGTCCGTGAGGGACGTCGTATCTGATAGTAGGGCCGGCCATGTAGTCCTCTCTGTGGACTGGCTGCTCGAATCGGGAACATCTAATCGGGAACATCTGGAATATGGTGGGCCAGGATGTGCTCCACTCTCTCCTCCTCCCACTTCATCTGCTCCCATGTGCTCCGATCAGATATGTCCCTCTCCCGGAGCTACAGATTCAATGCCATCCTTTGAAATAAATTCTTCTGGGGGGGAGGGGCAGGTGTCCACTTAGTAGTTGGGATTGGGCCCGGCCCTCCCAGAGGAGTCCGTTCTCAGTCTGAGTGAGTGAGGATGTCGATGGGCAACAGGACTAACCCCTGATGCATGACTTGCTGCATCTGGTCCTGATGGCCTGCTGTGATGTTTGACATTGTCCTGCTGAACGTTCCTTTGGGGGGTTGGTGGGCAGACTGGGAAACACAGTGAGTGCTCCCGCATCAAATACAACCTGAGTCTCGTCTTCTGTCCCTCTGGCTCTTAAGGCGTTTGGGCTGATGTGCGTGTTGCAGGAGTCACAATGGGCAGTTCAGTCGCTCTAAGAGGCTTCACAAATTATGGCACAACTCCCATTTTCGCAGTCATTTATTTATTTTTATTTTTTAATCATTTTATTGGGGGCTCTTACAGCTCTTATAGCAATCCATCCATGCATCATTCACAACCATTTCGCTCCGTTCATTCGGACCATTAGGGAGTAGGAAATGGCCCGGCAGTGGAGATGTCACATCACCAGGAAAAGAGCTGGCATTTCTCCTTTGCAGCATCTGGTCAACCTTCTTGACTTTCCTTGGCCACATTAACCTCTGTCTTTCCCCTTGTTCTTGAATCTGTTAACCCAGGCAGCTGGTGAGTTAATATTCTCCTTGGTGCACAGGGCTGTAAAACATAGGAGGTGGCCAGACATTCACGGAAGGCAGAGCGAGGGCTCACCGGCTGCAGGGGAGCCCTTTCCAGTCCTTAGGAG